TTCTTTAAGAATTCGACAGTGTAACAAAAAAATTTAATTTCCGAATAAAATAGCAATCAATAAGATTAAATTGTTTTTGTTTAATTGAAAGAAAAATAGTTTTTTCGAAAACAGAATTTTTTTTCATTCTTCTTTTGTTTCAAAATGTTACACTATAGTTTTACATTAAATTCAATAATTCATATTCAATTCTCGAAAATAAATAAACGAAATTATGTTTTAATCTTCTTCTTTTTGTTTCAAAATTTTTAATTAAATTCAATTCTTATTTAATTCTTGAAAATAAATAATAGACATTTTTTTCATTACTTTTTTTTGTTTTAAATTGTTAAATTAGATTTAATTCTTATTAAATTCTCGAAAATAAATAATAAACCATTTTTTTTAATCTTGTTTTTTTTTAAATTATTAGATTGGATTCAATTCTTATTGAATTTTTGAAAATAAATAATAGTAATTTTCTCAATCTTTTTATTTGCATCAAAATATTAAATTAGATTCGATTCTTATTCAATTCTCAAAAATAAGTGAAGGACATTATTTTTCAAATCTTCTTCGTTTGTTTCAAAAATTAATATTAAATTCAATTCTTATTCAATTCTCGGAAATAAATAATAAAAAATTTTTTCAATCGTTTTTTCTTTCAAATTTTTAAATTTTAGGATCAATTCTTATTCAGTTCTTAAAAATAAATAAACGAAATTTTTTTTCAATTTTCTTTTATTTCAATTCTTATTTAATTCTTAAAAATAAGTTATAATGAACCATTTTTTAAAACTTTTTTGTTTAAAATATTTAAATTAGATTCAATTCTTTTTCCATTTTCAAAAGTCAATAAACAATTATGTTTGAATATTCTTTTTTTGTTTCGAAATTAGATTCAATTCTTATTTAATTTTTGATATAAAATGGTTTCATTTTTCAAAATGAGGGAAAAATTGTTAAATTAAAAGAATAAATAGATTAAATTTAAAATTTGTTTTAATCGAACCGTGAGGAATTTAATTTTTGAAAACATTTTTTGACTTAAATTTGCATTTAGTTACAAAATGTTGAAAATGAAGTTTTTTGGCTTCACTAACATGAATTTAAAATTTAATTTGCTTTTTTAGTTCAAAAAATACGAAATTGAAATTCGACTACAATTTTTGTTCGGATTTTTTGTCTCATTTTTTGTTAATTTAGAAGAAAATTTTCCTATTTATGTGAAAATTTGAAACGACACTTTAAGGAAAATAAGAACTTTTTCCTTTAAATCAATTTTCCCTTTTTATTATTTAATTTCGAATAGAATTGAATTTTTTTTTTAATAAATTATACAGAATTGAAATTTTAACTTTATTTTTCAAATTGTCCAGAATTGAAATTTTAGTATTTTTATAAATTTTACAGAGTTGGAATTATTTTACAAAATTTACATTAGCTATAAAATAGTAACAATGATTTGAAAAAAAAATTTTTTTAATGAATTTTTTTTATCATCGAATAGGTACAAATATGCCTCGTGTTCTGATTAAAGAAAAAAAAAAGTAAACATCAAAGATGCATCAGCAAAAAGTAATAATGAAATAGAACAATCATATATATATAAAAAGTTGGAATTTCCTCAAGGAACAGTTCCGCTTTCTTAATTCTATTGTTGACATTTCGCGCGTCGTCATTTGTTTTTCATATCTTCTCACTGTTCTTTTCCACTAAAATGATTTTCTCATTTTTGCGACTAAACTGGTTTCGTCGGATAAGGCTAGAACCGTAGGTTAAAGAATGCCAGGATTATATCAAACCAATCAGATTCGATGCTTTAGTTTAAAAAAAAAATTGTCAGCTATCACAATCAACAAATGACGCTCGTGCGAATTTTTTTTTTTTTTTGTAAAATAAAACAGTTTTCCGTGTTAGAAAATTGGTAATTTTTGCTTCAAACTTGATTTTTTATTTTTATTCCTTAATTTTTTTTATTTTATAGTTTTAAGTAAGTAAGTAAGTCAGTAAGAAAGAAAGAAACTAAGTAGATAGGTTAGTTAGTAAGTATTAGTAAAACTAAGACTAAAAAAATAAAATTCCATTTTTAAAAATTCAAAAATAATAAAATTTATTAAAACAAGTAAATTTCGGAGGTATTTCAGTTTATTTTTTTAAAAATATTTTTGAAAACAAAAAAGAGGGTAAAATTTGTTTCTTTTATATTTAATATGTAAAATTGTAATACAATTTGTTTTTTTGCGCTTTTGTATTGTCGATAAAAATAAACAATAAAAATGACAAGAGTATTGCTTTATCATTTGCTGGGGGTAAAGATAATATTGTCATGAGATTGTTAATAGATTTATACAAGTGTATAAAAATCAGCGTAAGGGGCAAAATATCAGAATACCTACTCCTTCGGTTCACTAGATAAGACTCGTTCAGCAAAGTATAGACTTCGGGGCGAAAGAAAGTCGACTGATAATACTTATCACTCTCATATAAATAGTGCCTTAAATAGTTACTCGAAAGCAGAAGCGAGCAATCTTCGCGAGAATCAAGACCTCTCTTGATTATAAAATACCGAGTTTCTTTATTTTTTTTCCTCATTTTTATTTCGGTGTTCTTTTTTTTCAAAAAAAAAGTATTTTGTGTTTTTTTTTTGCTTTTTAATTTAAAAAAAATTATAATTTTTCTTATAAAGAGTTAAAAGAATAATTATTATTTGTCAAAAATTTTCCCAAAGCGGAAAAAGTGTTTCTGATAGTGTTGCATTTGTATGAGTGATAAAGACAGCACGAGAATTCCGTCCATTAATAAGGTACATTATTTTTCGTGATTTAATCATTGATTGAAAATTAATTTTTTGAAATTAATTTGAAAAAAGGAGATTTTCTGTTTTTTATATAAAAAAAAACGAATAATAAAAAATTCCCGAAATAAAACGAATTTGAGTCTAATACAGATTCTAATTCGTTTTATTTCGTGAATTAAACTTTGTACTGATTTTTCATAATTAAATTCGAATTTAAAAAAAAACTATCTATATTTTACGAAATTATTAATTTAAAAAAAAATTAGTTCACTACTATTAGAAATTAAATTTATTTATTTGAATCAAATAATTTTTATTTGAGTCAATTAACTGGTATTTACTTCAAATACTGAAATTATTGTTTCAAAAACAATTTATTTGATTAAAATACAATTTAATTGATAATAGACAAGTAATCGGATATTTGAATTAAAGAAAATTTCTTGACGTCTTTCTCTGTAAATTTTAATTCTTTAAAAATAACTGGATTGTGATAGTAAAACGTGAGTCACTGATTAAAATATTGATATTTTACTAACCAAATAATTAATAATGACTTATTTAATTATTTTCAAAATTTTATAAAATTCTATGCAGAAATTCAATTATGATAAAAAATTAAAAAAAAAAAATCCTCGTCAAAATTTCAATTATCTTTAGAAATAATAAAATTCTTTTCCGAAATTTAATTATTTTCAAAAATTTTAATAAAAAATTCTTGGAAAAATTTCAATTATTTACAAAGATTTTCTTCAATTCAGTGATTTTCAATATCTACTATTTTAATAAAATTTTTCAAAAGAATTTAATTATTTAAAAAAAAAAAAAAATGTTGATAAAATTCTAAGTAAACATAAAATTATTTTCATAAATAATGAAAATTTCACAGGAATTCTATTATTTACAAATTTTTTTTATAAATTTTTTCACAATAATTAAATTTCTTGCATAAGTAATATAAGTATTTACCAGAGATTTAATTATTTTCATGAATAATAAAACTCATAGCAGAATTTCAATTATTTTTAAAATAATTTAAATTGAATTTCTAGGAAAATGTATAATTATTCTTAAAAATTTTATTAAAATTCGTCAAAAGAATTGAAATCCTATAATTATTTATGAAAATAATTCAATTCTTAAAACGAATTTTATTACATTTTTATAAATAATTGAATTCATGTGAAATTTTTTATTACTTGTAAAAATAATTGAATTCTCGCGAAGGATTTTATTAAAATTTTTGTAAATAATTTAATTTTTTGTTGAAAAATTTTATGGAAATTTAAATTATTATAAGTTGCTGAATTTCATAAAGGTTTGAATTTAAAATTTTTTTAACATCTTAATTCCTATGGAATAATAATAATAATAATGATTAAATATTTATTTAACAAATAATTTATTGATGTTTTTAAATAATTTTACAATTATAAAAATTCGTAAATAAGTGTAATAGAACAGTTTAGTGTCTGTTTACTGTTAGTTAGTGTTAGTCAGTTTTTGTTTAGTGTTAGTTAGTATTAGTTTAGCGTCTATTTAGCGTTAGTGTTAGTTTAGTGTTAATCAGTGTTAGGTAGTGTTACTTAGTATTAGTGTTACTAATATTATTAACAAAATAAAAATAAAATAAAATTTATTTTATTTATTTATTTATTTATTATTATTTATTATTTATTTATTTTATTTATTTTATTTATTTTATTTATTTTATTTATTTTATTTATTTTATTTATTTTATTTTATTTATTTTATTTATTTTATTTATTTTATTTATTTTATTTATTTTATTTATTTTATTTATTTTATTTATTTTATTAAATAAACAAATTAAATTTCATCATTTACAAAAAAATGTCACATTGCTTTATTTGCTTGTACTTTTAGAGATGATGACTTTACTAATTTCCATTTATTACCGCAATGCAATTTAGTTTGTTAGTCAAGAGATTATTAATTCACTTGCATTGGCACCAGGCTGTCTGCACTCAACATTATCAGTGCAAATGTAATACAAATTGATAAGACACACAAGAAATTAACAGGTCTTGAGAATTGGGTTTAATTAAAAAGAAAAAAAATTGTATTTTTCCTTCAAGTTTTTTCTTTTCGCGAATGACGTTTTCATTGTATTGAATTATGATAATTTGGATGAGAATAAATTATAAACCATGGGGAATTATTTTTTGCTATAATTGTGAATTTTTTTAAATAATTGCAGGGTTCTATCTGCGATAGGCTGGTAGGCCAGTCTGTTGTAGGATCTTTGGTTAATAGCGACAACTGGAAGTTGTCTTTGGACGCAGAGCCTCCTTGGCTTTGCTAGCACCCCCAACTTATTCTTTGCTTTAGCTCGCCTCCCCACGACTTTCACAATTCTCATTGACAGCTGCCTCGTAAGTATTGTTTTTTTAAAAAATTATTTTCCAAACAGTTCATTTTTCATTAATTTTTCAATTCCTTTTGTTCCTTTTCTTTTCTTTTGTTCTTCATTTCTTTCTACTCTAAAATTTAAGGTTTTTTTCGATTTTTATTTTACTCTATTGAGCTTTTCGTTTTTATTTTTAAAAATACTTGTTTAACCCTTTGCCTTGTTTAACTCTTAATTCGTGTGGCTCATGAAAAGTAAAATAGTAAAATTTAAAATCGTCTATTTGGACCCCTGGTGGGGTAATATTGTAACAAAAATATTACCATATTACCCCAATAGTATTAATATTGGGGTAAGAAGGTAATATTTTTTTAACATTCCACGCATATTGTAACTATATTTTTGTTGTATTTGCAGATTGCTGACTAGCTTCTATAGAGTTTTATTTTAAGTAAGGAATCCTCAAAAGCGTTTTTATCATCATGAAGGTAACAAATTTAGATGAGCGCATTCATGTGCTGGACAATTCCTCAAATGTATTGAGCGTCATCAAGAGAATCGCCAACAGTGGCGTTCAGGAAGAAGCTTTCTACATTTTCGACGTTGGCGACATTGTTCGCAAACATCAAATCTGGAAGGAAAAATTGCCTCGTGTCGAACCCTATTATGCTGTCAAGTGTAACGATAATATCACTGTTTTAGAAGTTCTCGCTGCCCTCGGCACTGGCTTCGATTGTGCCTCTAAAGTACGTTTCTCTTTCTTCCCCAATTTATTTATTTTTTAATAAATTTTTTTATATAATGATTTGATTTTTAAATGATTTTAGACACTTCCAACTGTTAGAAATTTTTTTTCTTTTTGATAATAAAATACTTAAGGAGTCGTCCACCTTTTTTTTGGGGGGGGGGGATCTCTTCCTAATATATTTGTATATATTGAATTATGACAGTAGCCTTAAAATAATTGCAAATAATAAAATTTAAATTTGTTCTTTTTTTTAGGCTGAAATAAACAAAGTACTTAATATGGGTGTAAGTCCATCTAAAATAATTTTCGCTAATCCTGCAAAACCGGCTTCACATCTCCGTTACTCTTCTTCAGTTGGTGTCGATATTATGACTGTCGATAATGAAAGTGAATTACACAAGATCAAATATCTTCATCCTACAGCTAAGGTAAATTATTATACAATTATGCAGAGAGTATCTTTTACCATATTAAACATTTGAGTTTTATTTACAGTTATTTATCATACTTTAAAATCATCTTACATTGTATAGTTATAAATGAAGGATAATTGGAAAATTCATTAATTTTACAACAGACTTGACTAATTGTAAAATTTGTAATACAAACGAAGTAAAATTTGTATAGTAAATAGAAAGAAAATATCATTTTAATGATCCAGGGCTCAAACTAGGTCCGTAAATTTGCTTCAAGTCAGTAAAAGTCAGTTTTTTTTAAAAAAAGGTCCGTAAAGTACGTAATTTGATTTAAAAAGGACGAAAAGTTTGTAAATTGTACGATATAATTTTTGGATAATTTTAGAGAAATTACAAATGATTGTAGAAATTCAATTATTTTTAAAAGTAATAAAATTCTTTACACAACTTTAATTTTGTTCAAAAATTAAAAAAAAATTCTCGTTAAAATTTCAATTATTTTTAGAATCAATAAGATTCTTCTCCGAAATTCAATTATTTTTAAAAATTTTAATAAAATTCTTGTCAAAATTTCAATCCTTTCAAAATTCTTAAAATATTTTCTCAACTCTTTTCAATATCTACTATTTTAATAAAATTTTCCAAAAGAATTTAAATATTTTAAAAAAAATTTTTAAAAAATTCTACGCAAACATTTAATTATTTTTATAAAATAATAAAAATTTCACAGAAATTCAATTATATACAAATTATTTATAAATTTCTTCGCAATAATTCAAATATTTTCATAAATAAAATAAAATTTTTACAGGGATTCAATTACTTTCGTACATAATAAAATTCTTTTGAGGAACTCAATTAATTTGATAAATAATAAAACTCATTGTAGAATTTCAATTATTTTTAAAAAAATTTTAATCAAATTCCTCGAAAAATGTAATTATTCTTAAAATTTTTATTAAAATTCGTCAAAAGAATTTAATTATATAAAAATTTGGTGATAAAATTCTTTACGAGAATTGAATTTTAAGAAACATTGAATTATTCAATAAATTATTTATTTTTGTATTTAAATAATTAAATTATAGTAGTTTTTTAATGAAATTCTTTGTAATAATTCAATTTTTTTCAAAATAATTTTAATAAAATTCTTCGTAGAAATTTAATTAATTTAAAAAATTTGTCAAAATTCAATTATTTTTCAATGTCTACTTATTTCAATAAAATTTCACAAAAGAATTTAATTATATAAAAAGAAATTTGAATAAAATTCGTCTCAAGAATTCAATTATTTTCAAAAGTAATATAATTCTTCGCAAAAATCCAATTATGTTCAAAAATTTACAAAAATTCTCGTCAAAATTTGGAAAAATGAAATTATTTTTAAAAATTTTAATAAAATTCTTGGCAGAATTTCAATTATTTTTAATACAATTTTTATTAAATTTTTCGAAAAATGAAATTATTCTTAAAAATTTTAATAAAATTCATCAAATAAATTCAATTATTTAAAAATTTGTTGATAAAATTCTTAATGAAAATTAAATTTTAAGAAACATTGAATTATTCAATAAATTATTATTTTATTTTTGTATTTAAATAATTGAGGTTTTAAATTAAAATCTTTGAAAATTTGAATTTTTTATACTTTTAACTAATAATTCTGTAGAATTCTTTTTTTTGAAAAAGATTAATTTAATTTTTGTTGAAATTATTAAAATTTTTTATTTTCTAATATATATTTAATTGAAGAAGTATCTAATAATCGAAATTTCGTTAAATTGAATATTTACAAATATTTACATTTTTCGAAGAATTTACTTAAAATTGTATTTAAAATAATTGATTTAATTTTGCAGAAGTTTTTGTTAATAAAATTCTTTATGAGAATTGAATTTTAAGAAACATTGAATTATTCAATAAACTATTTATTTTTGTTTTTAAATAATTGAATCCTAGTAGAATTTTCTATAATAAAAATTATTGATTTAATAATGAATTTCAGTTAAAATTTTAACTCGAATTTTAGATAATAATTTTTTTTAATATTATTTAAAGTTTTTATTTTATTTTAGTTAAAAATTCTTGAAAATAATAATTGAATTGAAATGATGAAAATAATTTTGAAGAAGTACAATATTCTTATAAAATAATGATTTTACAAATTCTCCATTTTTAATTATTATAAAACATTTATGTAAAATGTTCTCTTATTTGACTCGGACTGTTTATATTTTTGTCAGTAATTGGTCTGTAATTTTTCATTTTTGGTCCTCAAAGTCTGTATTTTTAAATACTTTCGCTGATTCGAGCCCTATGATACTAATATATATTTATGACAATAATATTTACTTTCGAAAGGATAATCAATCTTTTAGTTCATTATTTTGATTATTTTTGAAAATTCTCTATTTGCGATCTCAATTATTGCTTCGATTTGCAATCTCAATAAATACCATAACACGGGGTTATTTCGCTCATTTTGCGGATAAATTCGCTCACCCATTTATCTGATTTTTAAATTCTAAAATAAAGTTCGATATTTTTAAAAGCATGGAAAAATTTTTAATTTTTTAATATAGAGATAAAAAAATTTAATTTAAAGCTAAGTTGAAGAAAATAAAACGGTGTACGAATTAAGCCCGTTTTACAGTAAATATAATTTAATAAAAAAAATTGTGCAATGCTTTTTAAAAATACGACTTTCAGTTATAGCTTTTATAAAATTTTATAAGCTAAGATAAGAATTGTAAGATACAAATTGTAGTGAAGAGTTAATAAAAAAAATTATTATAATTATTATTATTATTATAATTATTATTATTATAATAATTGTTATTATTATATTTATTAATATTATTATAATTATTATAATTATAAGCTAAGATACAAATTGTAGTGTAGAGTTCATAAAAAAAAAATTGTTATAATTGTATTTTCTTTTGGAATTTAGATCGTGATTCGTATTCGCTGCGATGCGGAGGTTGCTCTGTGTCCTTTGGGCATTAAATTTGGTTGCGACGCTACAACTGAAGCACCAAATCTTATTCGTACATCGCGTACATTGGGTCTGGATGTTGTAGGGGTTAGTTTTCACGTTGGCTCTGGTTGTCAGGATCCACCGGTTTATTTGCGTGCTATACGAATGGCTCGAGATCTTTTTGATTTTGCAAAGGAAGTTGGCTTTAAGCCCTACTTACTCGATATTGGCGGTGGATATCCAGGTGACAAGAATACCAGCATTGATAAGATGGCCGATACTATTAATCAAGGAATAGACGAATGCTTCAATAGTAAGTTTCTTTTTTTAATTTCTTTTTCTAGTTTATTTTTTTAATTTCTTTTTTAATTTCTTTTTTTAATTTCTTTTTTTAATTTCTTTATAGAAACTTTTTAACTTTCTTCAATTCTCAGCTTTCAGACTATTATATTACTTCAATGTTTTATTATGTTTCTTCAATTTTCAGTTTTCCGACTATTATATTTTAATAATATAATAGTCATAATCAAGTATAATTTAATGATATTTGGAGTTATTTTTTTTTCGCTCTGGATTGAATTGATTTGCATGTTGAATAATTTACAGCGGATGATGTGAAAATTATCGCCGAACCGGGACGTTTCTTCGTGGCATCTGCATTTACACTCGCAGTAAGTATTCACAGCAAACGCTCAGTTCGAGGAGACAAAACATGTCCTAATGTTACTACGCACAATATGTACTACATTAATGACGGTGTTTATGGATCATTTAATTGTTTGCTGTATGATCATCAAACCGTAAAACCATTGCCACTGAAGGTACGTTTGTTCGCCCTCTAGTCAATAAAATCTAATTTTATTGGAAATATTACTATAATTATTGGAAATATTAGTATAATGGAAATATTACCAAATATTAATGCATCAATATTTCATTTCACAGAATGGATCTGGAAAAATGATACCGTCAAGCATTTGGGGACCGACATGCGATGGTTTGGATCAAGTTGTCGAAAATGTTCTTCTTCACGAAATGGAACTTGGCGATTGGTTTATTTTTGAAAACATGGGTGCTTACACTCTGCCAGTGGCTTCAACTTTCAACGGATTTCCCGTTCCGAAAGTTCATATTATCGCTGAAAACCACATATGGTAAACTAAAATATATTTACTTTTAAATCTGTTTTATTATTAAATTTAATATTAAATAATAAAACAGACTTAATACTAACATTGTAATAATAAAGTATTAATTTATTAATTTAGTTTAATTAATTTAATTATCGAGATATTAATTTCGATAGATTTTTTAAATGAACCAACGTTTTTTTTTTTTTTTAATGAACAATAAAAATTTTCAGGCGTAGTTTAAAGAATAATTCACCAATAACTGAGGAGCATTTTGTAATGGGTAACGTGCCAGACAATCTGAATTATGGCCTCGACATTGGAGGAAGTGACATGGTAACATGGACAAATGCAAAAGTAGAGATTTCAGCAAATAATCTACTTATAGATTCTTCAAATTCTTCGAATTTCATTTATGATTACGTTGAAGTTGATCCATTGAAATAGCAGTTTGACTATATTTTTGATTTGACGAGCAACTTTGTTCTTTCCTTTTAATTTCTATTATTGACTATATATAAAATCAATTTCTAATGGATTCAAATTCTTCATTGCAGCAAAAGATAAAATTCCAATGAATGATAAAATTTTCCTATATTTAAAAAAGAGGACGTATTTATATGTTTTTTTTTTGCTCCAAATGTGTCTCGAATTTTATTTTAGATCAAATTTTTACAAAAAATACCTTAAAGGATAACTTTTATTTTCTCAAAAAAAAAAAAAAATCTTTCAAATATGAAGATACACGAAATCTTAGAATACTGTGGAAAACAAATTTTCAATTTATTTTAAATAAATAGCAGGCTTTTTAGTAAATTGTCAAGCATTAAAAAAATTTTAAAAACGTTTTTATTTAATTTTGGTAATAATTTTCAGATGTCTTGAAAGACCTTTTATTTTTTTCACTTAAAATTTTTCGATTAATAATTAGTAATTAGTAATGAAGATAATTTTTTCGGGGGGAGGGGGGGTTAAAGTACACAAATCAAAAAAAGAAACAAGTGAAGAAAATAAAAAATTTAATCGTTAAAAGAATCTTGTTAGAAATTTGACGAATTTTTTAAAATGCATGCCAATAGATAGAAATATGTATATTAATCGCACAATAGAATATTGGCTTTGTAATTTAATAACATTTGTTTTAACAAATTTATTTAAAATGAAAAATTATATATAAAAGATTAATTTTTAACGAAAGTTTTTTTCGATTAATTTTTTTTTTAAGAAACATGATTGTAAAGTATACGAGAAATATTTCAATGGTACTTGATTTTAAATGATTATAGGAGGAAAAAATATAAGTTTTTTGCTCGAGATAAAAAGAAAAGAAATGCACCTATAGTAATGTTTCTAAATTTCTAGTACAAAAAATGGTTCGACTCTGTAGAAGTACTAGGAAACCCTTAAGGCTTTGAGGCAGCTGTCATATGTAAAACAAAAAGATAATTAGATTTTTAGTCGTTAATTTTAAATTATTACCTTGATTGTATTATAAATAAAATAAAATAAAATAATTATGTATAAATATATATAAATATATATTTTGTAAATATTTATACATATTATAAATATATATAATTACATATATGTCTGCTATTACTGTTAATTATTAATTGTAATATTCGTGTAATGAACTGCATTATATCAATAAATTTGATCTTAAAATGTACGAGAAAGAGAAAATTTTCTTTTGAAAACCTTAAAAAGTGAAAAGTTATTTATATCAAAAATTATAAAATAAAATTTTTTTTAGTTAAATTTATTTAGAAACTATTTTTTTAATTCGATAGATATTATAAATTAAAAGTCAATTTTGATGATTCAATGATTGTGCAAATTATTTCAGCTTTCCAAGTTTTCAAGTCTGTTTAACATTTTATTTATGTAATCAAATCGGAAATTTTGATAACAAAGAAAATCACCATCGAAGATTATAATCGAGAAGCAGAACTGATAAAGTTTTTTCCCCCGTTTGTGCAATAATTGGTGATCTAAATTTGAAAGGCGCAATCATGCGACTCGAAGAAAGTGCAAATAAATGGAAAGAGCTATCGATAACTTCATCTAAACCGTATAATCTCAATTTTTCAGTTTAGATGAAGATCATTACATTAATTAGAATTTTACTAAATTTTTTATCAATATTATTATTTTAGACGACTCACGTCGTCGTAATTATTATTCTTCTTCTTCTTCTTATTATTATTTTTTTTATTTATTCACACTATTATTAAGTATGCAGTTAAATGTAAAAAATGTCACGAGCACTATATTGTCATAAGAAATAAGGAAAAAAAAAATTGTCGAAAATATATTATAAAGCTACGATATTTGCGAATTGTTACAATCTATTGAATTTGTGATTAGTTCTGATGAGTCGTCATTTTCTGGTTAAAAAAGATAACGACAGGGAAGTAACATTATTATCAGAAAATTGTACGATAAGATACAATAAAAATTTACACGTATTTAATATACTCCCATTTTCGTATTTGCATTGTGTATCGAGAATCTTGGGTAAATCTTATATGTACTGATTGATATAGAATTTATAATCAACTTATTGATTTTATAATAATTGATATACTACGTCTAGGAATAAATGAGGAATTCTATATATTATGGAATAATGTTAAGTGACAGAAATCCAAATATTTTTTTAAAAATAATTTAGGTACAATAATAAATAAAATAAATTTATAATAAAATATTATTATAAATTATAATTTTTTTTTTTGTAAATTAACTTATAAACGAACTTATTTATTTATAATTTATTCAAGAATAAGGACAAAATGTTCGCGAATAAAATTGACTAATTTAAAAGCAAAAAGTCAGTTACAAATTCAAATTAGAAAAAAACGACAAAAAAGAGGCATGGAATTGTAAAAATGGTAAAAAATGGCAAAATGTTAATGGTGTATTATTAGAATTGAGTGTAGAATGTAACAAAATATTTTTATGAAAATTATTTTATTTGTATTTTTTTTTATTTGCAATGAGACACAAACATAATTTATAATCGTAATAATTATTTTTTATCACAACAAAATACTTAAATGAATAGAATAATCGGTTCTCGACAACACATACTTTAATTTCAAACAATCAGGAATACAATTTTTATAAAAGATCAGATTTTTTTTGTTTTTTTTAACTTCTTTGTCAACATAAGTAAAAATACTACATCTTAGCGAATAACAGACGATAGAACGTAGTTTTTTTTTATTTACGATCAGACATAAAAATAATTTTTAATCGTAATAATTATCTTTTAACCAAAAAAAATACTTAAATGAATAGAATAATCGGTTTGCTTATTATTTATTTAAAAATTTATTTTTTTTTATTATTTAAAAAAAATTTTAATAAAATTGTACGAAAACATTTAATTATTTTCATAAATAATAACAATTTCACAGGAATTCAATTATTTACAAATTTTTTTTAATGAAGAGAATAAATAATATGCTATTTTTATATAAAGGGACTAAAGGATATGCTATTTTTGAATAAAGGTAGTAAAGAATATGCTATTTTTGAATAAAGAGAGTAAATGATATGCTACTTTTAAATAGAGGGACTAAAGGATATGCTATTTTTGAATAAAGGGAGTAAAGAATATGCTATTTTTGAATAAAGAGAGTAAATGATATGCCACTTTTAAATAGAGGGGCTAAAGGATATGCTATTTTTGAATAAATAAAGTAAAGGATAAAATTTTTCAAGAATTGTAAATTTCATACATTTATCTGACTAATTATATATTTGATAATAATTTAATTCACCGTTATGTCATTAAACACTGTATATAATACAGTGCTTTGTCTATGGCAAGAAGAAAAGAAAAAAAAGGTTTAATAATAAAAATTGAAACGTGTAGCAGTTGCTGTTGAATTAGACGAGAGCGAATCAAGCATGAAAGGTCATTGAGAAGTAAATAGTAATTTTATACTAAATTCGAATATTACTGTAATCTATGAAAACGTCAGTTGTTATGCCTACTACTACTACTACTTTTCTTTGATCTGTCTTGATTCTTAGTCCTTGGCATGCGACGAATTGATTTCTAATATATTAGTTGCGCATGGTAATCCAGGTATTATTTATTTTTATTCTTTATAATATACATATAGTTGCGATTTAACTTTCAACTTCGATTCGTGCGGCCGCACGACTAAAGAGAATGTAGGAAATTGTTGAACTCGTGCAAGGCACCCATATGCTTTGTCGACACTAATACATTTATAAAGAAATTTATATATATGGTATATATAATATATGTATATAAATATACATATATTGTTTTCTGTATTCTGTACTAAACACTATAAAATTCGATTATTGTACATACAACATTACAAGAGCACGATCGAACGATTATCCTTGCTTTTCATGAATTGTGTTCATTGTTCTGTCTTCAAGATCAAAAAAGTATAAGAAAGTGTAGTAAAAAATTTGTCGTTAGAATTTAAAAAAATTCAATAAAGTTGTAGAACTGCAACTAATATTAAATAATTTTTAATTAAAATTGATTTTAAATTATCTATTACATCATTTATTTTTGTTATGTAGATACTGAAAATAGAACCACTTGTTAAAAAAAATATAATTAATTATCACAGAACAAATATTTACCCCACAACTTTTACTTTCTTCAATTTTTCTATCAAGCGAGATTAATGTTAAATAATTTTTATTTCAATTTGTGTTAACAAAAGATTTATAGTATTGAATTTTTTTTTAAATTCGAGATTTACGACAAAATGTTAAAATCTTACACCTGAAATTTAACTTGATTTTAAATCAAACACGATTTGGAATATAAAACATTTGTGATTAAGCTATAAATTTTGAAATGTTTAGTTATCAGCCAGTTAATAGTTAAAAATAGAATTTCTAATAATAGAAAAATAATTATTCATATTTTGAAAATGTTAAAATCTTAAAATTTTCGAAATGCGTCATTCCTTAGTTCATGGAACCTATAATTTTTTTTCCTCCCATATCTTGTATTAACTAAATCGAAGTGATTTATTATTTTCGGCGAAAAAACATTTCCTGTTACATATGTATGAGAAGGAAAATATAATATACACATTGTGTCCGATATTATCGATAATGTTAGTGATTTATTGTTTCATTTCATAATATTATGTTAATTCTTTAATGTTTTTTAATTAAAAGTTAAGATGTACCTGAGAAGTAATTTCTTATTTTAAAAAGAAGCAAAATTTATAAATTCACTTCGTCCAGTGGTCGAAAATTGTAATGCAACTTTTAATTGTTTAAATTTAATTTTTCGTTACTATGTGATTAAATAAATGTTATATTTTGAATTTTACTGTAAATATTGTACAAACAGGTAGCGAGTGCTTGTGTAGAGTTTATATTATATGCGTGTCATAGATCTTTAAATTGAGTTCAAAATTTATACCACCTCGTGAAATTATATCTCTGATAAATGTTTTCATGCCAAGTCATCATCCATTGCTATCATTGTTATTTTTATTATTTGTTTACCTAATAGAATCATGGAATATTTTCAAATTTATCCAAAGCCAATAAGTAATCTTTCATGTTTTTACAAATAATTCGCAAATATTTTTCAATTCAACAAAACTATATACAATCTTTCCTCATCATTGCGAGCATCATTGTTCATTTATACTATTCTTTACTCTCAACTTTCAAGCTTTCACTAATATCTTTTATATTGATTAATGAATATTTCTCGCACTGTAAATTCACTTCAATCTAAACGTCTATAATTTTAAAAGCGTGCATTAAATTCGCACAGAAATTAAACTTTTTTTTCATTAAATTAATTCGAAAATAAATTTTTGAAAAATCTACTTTCGAATTAATTTCTTTCTTGAAAGGTTCTTTCTTGAAAATGTAAATTTTTTTTAGTAAGGGACTGTTTAGTATGGAATTGAATATAATAATTGATCGAGAAACAATCGTCGGCTCGTGATCTAAAAATGCCCTCTTTCTCTTTCTTTTTTTGTTGTATCTCCAATTGAAAAGTGAAGGTACATTTCGGTCATGTCGAAGATTAAAAATGAAGATAAAAAAAACTTGCTGATACGTGAACCATGCCGGACTTGTTCTGTTTTATAATGATCTTTCAAGTCTGCCCCGACGACAATGAGAATCAAACAAAAATAAATTACACTTACTACTTCATATATATACAGTCCAACCTGTTTTTGGTTACCGTGTGTGAAAATTATTAGAGCATATTACAACACATTTATACTTTCGGTTTAAAAATTTCTTTTTTCAAGAAATTAAAAATGAGTGCACTCCAAAAAATTTTTCTAGCAGGGTTGCCACATTTTTACTCTTTTCAAATTCCCTGCGACTTTTCCAGGTTTTCCAAGATAAAAAACGGAATTTTTCCAGGTTTTTAAAACGAAAATTATTCAAAAACATCAATAACTTCATTTTTAAATAAATATTTAATCATTATTTTTTTTAATAAAAATTACGATATTCAGAAATTTGAAATTCAATAACATAAGAATATTATTATAAAACTTGTTTTGTTACTGTAACTTCTTCAAAAATTATTTTCATCATTACGATTATTAATTTCTAAAATTTTCAACTATAAAATTCTTCTTTAAGTCAATTTTTTGAAAAAGTTTTTTGAGAATTTTCAAA